GCCTTTTTTAAACTTCCCCCAAAAAAAGGAGGGGGGGGGGGGAAGGCCCCCCTTTTAAAAGGGGTTGGGGCCTCGGGGGGGAAACCCGTGTTTTTGGTTGGGGGAAAATTGGGGTTTCCAAAAAGGGGGGGGGAGGGTCCCCGGGGGGCCCGGGAAAAAAAAAAAAAAAAACCGGGGGGGTTTTTGGGGCCGGGAAAACCCCGGGAAAAACTTTTGGTTTTTGGGGGGAAAAAAAAGGGGGGAAAAAGGGGGGGAGGGTTTTTTGTGGGGCAAAAGGGTTGGGGGAACCTTTTTTGGCCCCCCTTTGGAAAAAGGGGGAGGAAAGGTTGGCCCCGGGGGGTGGGCCCGGGGGGAAAAAATCCCCCCCCCTTGGGGGGGGGGGTTTAAAGGGTTTACCCCGTAAAACCCCCAAAAAAAAAGGGGGCCCCCCCCCCCCCCCCCCCCCCGCCCCCCCACTCCAGAACTTGCTTTGCACTGATTTTCGCTTCCCCTCCCATCCCTTTGCCCACTGCTGTGCATACGGGGAGGGCACCGGGTGCTAGGGTTGCTATTTAGGACGGGTTGCTCACCTCGGCCATGTTCCCTATCTCCGACTTTGCCGCTATGATGGCCTTCTCCAACCCCTTCGAAGGCTTCTTCGCCGGGTTCGCCAGGTCCTGTCGAGAGGCGAAGCTCTGGATAACATTCTGCAGAGCGGTGCGCGTGCGAGAAGGCGGGGGCAACAGAGGGGGGAAAGAGACGCACATTCGGTTGTACGCGAATTGTAGAATTAGTTTTGAGACGACTGCCCACCCCCCCCAGGGTGCGCGCTCCGTTCGACGTACGTGGAGGATCGGGTGCCACAGGGGGAATAAGGCATTCTGTCGGGGTTAAAAACGGCACCAGCACCAGCACCAGCACCAGCAGACTGGTATTAGTGCAATCGGTCTTTGAAAATCGGCCCAGGGGGTGTGATATCGTACGCACGACCTACGCTGGCTCTCGACTGGAAGAGGCGGGCTTGTAGCGTACCTGGCCAACGGGGACGGCACCGGTCTCTCAAAATCGGTCCAAAGGGGTACATACGTGGCATCTTTCGTTCGACCTACGGGCGCTTAGGCGTGCTGCGCTCGACTGCAAGAGGCGTGTTTGTACTTCACACACCTGACCAACGGGGACGAAACCGCTCTCGTCGGTCTTGAAGAAGACGACGAACGCGTGCCGCTCCTTGACCTCGATCATGCCGTCCTGCATCGCTTTCGGGCCGGTCGGCTGGTACACCTGGCGCGTCGTCGTGTCGAGGAACGACAACATGGTGTCCGTACACGCATTGTCATGAGCAAAAAACGCTTTTTTTCAGGGGCGACATTCCAAGGAACCACGCACATGGACACAGGGCATCCTTATCCCGATACATGTTGATAACACTTCTTTAACTTCGCTGGTGAACGTAGGGGGCGGAGGACATACCGGTATAAGCTCTTGACGTGTCCAAGAATAGCGGCGAGAAACATTAACATTTGCCTAGCAAACATTTCGAGGCCCCGCGCCCGCCATCTGGTGCGGGACTACCATCCCACCGGCACACGCGAGACATGCAACTCGCCGAATACCTCACGGTTCTTCGCGCTTGGTGATGTGTGAGCCTGGTCCTGTGAGAACCCGGTGTGCTCCGTCCCGGCTTTGTAGGGATGCGAGGTCAATGGTCAAACGACTACGGCATGCAAGACCATGACCCCCCCCCCCCTCGCCATCTGGTGTGGGGCCACCATCCACTGGCATACGCGAGACAGCCCCACAGCAGCAACGAACGCCAACCTAGGGCCGAGGCTCAGATTCTTCGTTTCGTCGCAACTATATATCGAGTACAGGAGTGTAGCATCTAACGCTGAGTTGTGTCTCTCATCCCCACTTGTCTCATTTTCCCGGAGAAACTTTGCAAACAAGTACATTCATTGGATGCAAAAACATCGGGAACAAAATAGCCAACGTTTTTCATTCAAAAATATTCTTTCTACTACTGTACTGTAGCGGGCCGGTACTGCTGTACAACCTCCACGTTCCCGCACCCGTCATCTCTGGACAGCAAACTAGCCCCATGAACTTGACCGAACCACAGCCATCCCCGCAACATTCCAACATTCCACGCGTGGAAAGTTTCAGTTTGGAAAGTTGCGGTACAAGCACCAATCAATTCACCTGGGCTGGCCACCACGGATGAGAGCGCATCTTGACCCACACCACCTGTCTGGCGACAATGGCGGGTTGCTCGGGGAGGTTGAGCCACTCCACCGAACCATCCTCGTCGTATCTACAGGGGAACCGGACGGAGGGGAGGGGGGGTAACTCATGTTATGCATGCCTTAGACCATTGACCACTGACCACGCATCCTCGAGAGGACGGGGCATTTTTTACACAGCAAGGGTCACACAAACGAAAAGGGGGGAGGGGGGGGGGGGGGGGGCGTACTCTTACGTTTTGCATGCCGTAGCGGTTAGACCATTGACCACGCGTCCTCGAGAGGACGGAGCATTGTTCCCGCAGGACCGATCACCGATGGCCAATCGTTCCTGCCTACTTTGCCAAAGGTGGCTAAAAAAAGTCTTCCCCAGTCTATCGATCCTATCGATATCACTTCCCTCCTTTTAAGGCCCATTTCCTATGCCCCAGTACAGCTACCGTCTTCTCCTGGCTATTCTATGCCTCAAACATCTCCCTGTACCTTCCTTCTACTTTTCCCAGCTCAGCCATGTACACTTCCCTCTCCTTCTTGTACAACGAACATTTCGCGACTACATGAAAAAAGGGGAACAGGTGCAAAAAAACGCGGCTGGAAGGGGGGCAAGGGGATAGATAGGACACTATCTCGCCTTGACGTGATGTTGATGAACAACGGATATCTCAACCCGTTCGACAGCAGTCAACAAACAGCTCTGCTCTTCTGTGTGGTTCGATGCGCGCAGCGCCTCGAAAACTACATTAATAAAATTATTGCTTTCTCCCGTCCTGCCCCACAGAATCAAAGGCGCCGTGCGTCGGAGAAGCCCTGGGACCCGGCTCAATACTCCTGCCGAGAGCAGTGAGCAAGCAATGAGGAAATCCTTGAGCCCTCGCTACAAACACCCAAACAACGCCTGGCGATCCACGTAGTTCACTCCCTCCGTTGCCCCTCGTTAGAAGAGATACACCTCGCTAGAAAAGACACACCTGAATTGCTGTGGCAGGACTCCTATTTACACTTCACATCAGCCAGTCGCTGCTACTGCGGCTGCTGCTACTGCGGCTGCTGCTGCTGCTGCTGCTGCTGCTGGCAACCAAAAGCTCAGGCCTTGCAACAACTTCCCGGGACCCGTGTCCTCAAGACACACCTGACGAGGTACGGCTCGCGCTGAGTCGACTTGAACCGAACGATGCGGCCGCTGTACCACTCGTTATCCCCGTCCCAGTACACCCGCACACGGCTCCCGACCATCTCGTACGAGTCCTCGGCCCAGTTTGGGAAAGGGCTGACCGCGGGGGGGCTGCTAAGGTCTCCCCCCGCCTCCGGCACGGCCGCCTCCACCGAAGCGAGACCCTCTCCCTTGTCCGCCTGCTCGGGCAAGGGGGGGCGTGAGTGCTTCAAGGGATGATAAATTTTGAAAAACACAGAGGGAAGAGAGAGTGCTGCACTCTTTTCCTCACGCTAAAAATCGAAGGCAAAGCACCGCTGGAGGGGCGGGTAGGGGGAGGCGGGGAACTCTTCCGTGCGACCACGGATTGCAACCAGCTCCTACCCGGCAGAAAAATACAGCAGTGAGCGCTGATATACAGCAGTGATAAAAAAAAAATGTCCACAGGGAATAATAAAAAAAAAAAAACATATCGTGGGAGCGAGAGAGCGAGCGAGCTTGTGTTTCATGTTCTCCCTTCAGTGGAGGCGACAGCACCCAATGTCTTGCGCCGCGAGACGTCGAACGATCCGTCGACCTTCGGGCGTACTGAAGCTTGCCTACAACCTGGTATGTACAGCAATCGTACAGGGACGCTCATACACCATACCATACCATGGTTTTCTGGCCCCAACGACCCTGTGCCGTTCGGTTCCCTGGGAAAGAAACGCCGACACGTGCTTGTACCCGCACTCGAGAACAGATCAGTCCCGCATGATTCGACACGGGGCCGCCATAGCGAAGCAGATACATACACCGCCGCCGTGCCTGTTGCTGCTGCATGCATACCTTTCCCTTCTTCGGCTTGCGGCCTGGTTTCCCGGGCGTCTTCCTCTTGACCGGCTCCGCGTCCGGCTCCTCTTCCTCCTCGTGCCCGTCGTCGTCTGCCCCCGGTCCCCCCCTGGACGACTTAGGACCACCGCCGCTTCCCCCCCTCTGCTTCTTGCCTCCCGCCGGCCTCGCCGTGGCGTGCACCCCCCCGTTGGCACCGCGCTTTGAGGCCGTTTCGCCGTCGCCGCCGCCGCCGCCGCCGCCGCTGAGCAAAGCCCTACCGAGGTTGCCCTTCCTAATCTTGGCCGCTTCGGCCGGCGATAGCATCCTCTCGTCGGCCACGAAAACGCCGAGACTCCCGAGGTGGGCCGTCTTCTTGTCACCAACGCCTTTCTTGCCGCCACCACCGTCTTTCGTGGAAGAGGAAGAGTTGGCCAACGCGTGCATGGCCGCCGCCGCCTCCGCTTCATCGCTGCCGGTCAGGCTACCGCCCCTGCCGCCCCTACCGCCGCCGCCGCCGCCGCCCCCACCAGTCTGCGCTCGCAACCGCTCCGCCACGGACGTGGACCAGCCCGTGTGGCTGAGCGCGTCTTCCGTCGAGAGCTTGTTGCCCGGACCCGAGGTGTTCTTTCGCGGACCCGAATCCCTGTCCGGCAAAAAAAAAAAAAAAGGAGGAGTCCATCCATCCGTCACATAGAGGGGGTTGTTAGGTTACGCCGCACGTTTTTTTCTTTGTCCGGGTTTGGTGTACCAAGTCCAACAATACTGTTTAAACACAGACAGCAACGGTATCCATGCCACGACCGTAGAGGGAGTCAAGGTTATAGACCTCGGCAGCCTTTCAAGGCTTTCAAGGCTGCCATCAACACATGTGATGTGATGTGATGTGATAGTGGACGGAGGGATCACTGCCGCAAGCCGGGAAGGGCTCAACGGCTCCTTATCTCAAAATACACCCGGTGACCCAAAAGGTATCCCTCCCCAAACAAATCAGCACATACTCTGTCTGAAGGGGGGCACGCAGAGAAGAAGAGAAAATAATCACACCGACCGCCCTCGCGGGTGATGGACATAGAATACGTATCGGCGTGAGGTCTCCATCCATCCATCCCGAACATACCGTATATGACACAAGATAACACACCCCCTTGGCCGATTTTCAAAGCTCAATTTCTCAACAGCAGGAAGAGTCACAGCGCCGAAAACGGCGGCGTTGGAACCGTCTCGTCGAGAGCTGTTCGAAAACGTATTGTTTCGTTTATGCATCCTCTTCGTCGTGGAGTAATCGAGCTTTGAAAATCGGTCCAGGGGGTGTGTTATCTTGTGTCATATACGGTAAATATCCTAAGTGTATTTTGGCAAGTCAAAGGCCTTGGCTTTTGGGTAACCAGCGCTCCTTATCTCGTCAAAATACACCCAGCAGTCCGGCACACAAGAGTTTGACTGAGTCCATCCGTGGAATTCAGCAGGGCGCCTGTCGAAGGCGGCTTGTACATGTTGCGCGCACACGCTACTGACACCAACGTGGAACCACATCAGTACCACCAGCGAATGTTGCAGACCACCCCCGGTCAACTTTTAGTTGGTGATGGTTGATTGGGTATACTGCCGTGGGGAGCTGCAGCGAATGTGGTGAGCGCGCGCGCCCGTTCCCGCTCGACGCACCCCTACTTGAAAATATTACCCTGCCAGAAAATATATAGTCCTACAGCAATATCTCCTCCAAATGACGCACACACGACCAGCATCCGTGATAGTTTCTCCACCCAAACGATGAGTGACCGTCACATCTACTCTCCTATTTAAAACCTTCCGCTTCTCGAACCCGTGGGTTATACAGCGTTGGCGGAATCGAGAACCGAATTGATGTTACGAGTGCGGCGCAACCCAAACCCCGTCACTGCCGTTCGACCACAGCTACATCTGCAGAAGTGGATCGTGGGAACACTACTGGTGTCATTGTATTTTGCCTCAAAGATTGTGTACGGTGTGCTCACGCCGTGGACGAACACCGCCGTGCAGTCGAAATAAAGGGAGTGAGATTGGACGAAGACGAATGTTCTTCCGCCGAATCCGAAGGAATTTCTCTTGCGGATGACTCGCCGCAAGAAAAATCTCGGAAACGTCCTCTCTGGCTATGTGTAGAAAACAACCAATCTGGGCGGCACAATTGACTGGGGCGACCATCTCTCCTGCTGGAAGAAGGCCTGTGCGCGGGGGGAAAACAGAGCTCAGCCGTGCAGCCACGACGGCCGCATGCGTCCCGCTTGATCCGCATAAGGCACACACCATTGCTTGCTGAGCAGGGCTGCCTTCCTCAAAACTCTCCGACAAGGTGCGTGTGCTACGTGCATACCGAAATATGCATACGTGGTTTGCCGATAGTCATGCCTCTCACCTGGCTGTTCTGTAACCGAACAAGCAAGGGTGAGGTGTGTGTGGTGATGTGCTCTGCTGCTGTGTGTGCGTCGTGGGAACTGCGACATCTAGATACTGTACCCGCCGGTCCGGTGTCCGATGAGGGGACGGCCAGCAAGTAACCAAATTCAACTTTCAATGGCGCGAGCAAAACGAAAACCCTTCCGATTCTGCTTTGGGCGTAATTCTTTCTGGATGGAACTTCCATCCTCTACACTCGTTCATGATAATCATCTTCGTGCACGTGACAATATCAGAGAGAGGGAGGCTCACAAATGCGGACTGATTCTCCACACGAGGACACGTCGATTACGTCAACTTGCTCTGCTTCCCCTTGCTGGGAGTAAAGGGCTGCAGCCCACATTGCCTACGTGTGGCATGAGCGACTCTGTAAGTCCTGCCGCCGGAAATCCAGGCTTGCTGAGTCCCAAGCATACAACGAATGAACGCACTCGGCGAAATAGCTGCAATGACAGCAGTGCCCTCCGCACTACGTGTGACCAAGCTTGTGGGAACGCTTGCGGCGTACTCGACGCACGCCGCAAGAGACAGACAGCTGCTGTCGTTGGTCTTGGCGGATCAATCGTAGAACAGCAACTTACCGCCACCCTTGCGCACCCCCCGCCCTCGAGGAGGGTGCGGCTGAAATGCGAATCAAATGCGTATCGTAGGAGGAGCAGAGAGATGAGCTAACAATAGAGCCTCTACGCCAAGCCTTAGCGTGCGAGAGGGTGGGTACCAGTCGAAGATCGTGGATGAGGGTGGCCGTCTTCTTGCACGATAGCAAAGTTGCACGGGTACGTGAGTTGAAGATTTGATATACTGCTGCTGCCGATGCTGCTGCTGCTAGAGCCAACGTCACACTGAATTAAAAAAAAAATCCCCGACAACGTCGTTCGAACAGCAGCACCGCGTAGAGCACCGCGCTGTTGGTACGGAACGATCAGCAACATCAAAGCAGCGCCCTTCCACATGTCCGGCCTGATTTCCGCGAGGGATGGCCGGCAAGCATTGGTTTCGACATTTCGTTGCCAATCGACAACGGCTGTTGAGACGCGCAACACACGTACACCTGCCCCCAGAAGCAGTGCCGGATGCTGTACACACGCGCAAATATTACACAATTAGACTGCACACTTAAAACCAGTACACATTTGCCAAATTTGAAAATTGTCATTTGTGTGAGGGAACGTGGAGAAGGATGCTCCCTTCCCCAAGACACACGAAGAGGGCACAGCCACAGCTACGGAGATGACGGCCCGATGGTCCCTACTGGTATGAATCTGCCCTATGACGGCTTCGAGAAGAAATGTGAGCTGGGATGTGTTTTGTGTTGAGGAGACGAGGATTGTTGCGCAGAGAGGGCGAAAAGGTAACCGCTCTGCTGGCAATTCCCTGACCCCAAAGCCGTAAGCGGACGCCCTTGTACTGCGGCGCCAACACCCACCTCTTCGACATACCCAGGCTGACTTACGCGAGCTCTACTGGTGTGAGTGGGGTCAAAGCTACCCGCCAATTTCTTTGCACCCAAATGTCCGTACCTCTGCTTGACGCCGGGCCGGTCGCTAACAGCGGCCCTTCTCTCCTCGCTCTCCATCTCCCTCTCTCTCTCTCTCTCTCTTTCTCTCTCTCTCTGCTTGTCCGATGCGCCCGAGTTCCTTCGCCTCCCCACTTCTCTGTCCTAGGTGAGAGCCTGAAGGATCGTGCTTGGATGACAACCGCGTCTGAGATGCCCGGGAAAGCCCCCCCTCTGCCTCCTTCCTTCCCTAGGTCACGCGGGTTGTCCGTCACGTCGCACACGCAACACACACACACAATAGCGAACCCAGGGGGATACGCAGATGGATAAAATGGCATATGTACGCGAGGTGGGTGGGGTTGCCTTGCTTTGCTTTGGCACGCGCGTGAGCGACGAGAGCAGCAGTGAGTACCCGTACACGCAAGCAGGGAGAGACAGGTTGGGGAGAGCAAAGTCCGACGTTACGTTCTCGGCCGATATCTGTTGCTGAGGTCTTGTTGACGCAAACCAAGCAGTCCCCTGCTGCTTCGCACAGCTCCAGGGCAAATCCGAACCAAGCGGTGTGTTTCAAGTCCAGTTTCAAGTCGCGGGTCTGCTGTTGCCCCGTACATTTCTGTGACAACGATGAGAGGATTCATGGGAAGAGCCGCTTGCTGCGGCTGCGTCGTTGCTGCCACTTCCACCGCCGCCGCCGCTGCTGCGATGCCTGTACGCAACGGGGAGGTGAGCGTTCTGGACATGCCCTACGTCGCCTAGTAAACATGCCCCTCTTTGTGCCGCTTTTTGTACACACCTCACACACACACATCCCTTGGAGGCTCCACACGTTGGTTGGTGGCATCTATGCATATGATACCTATCTTCGCGTATTTGAGCCGTGTGAAGGGCGTTAACGGCCCCGAAACAATCCGGCTACATGGGTTTGAGGAAAGCGTCGAAGGTACAGATCGGAGCTCGTTTTGTTCGCAGAGCTGCCTACAATACTCTGCGCACCGTTCCTTATGGTGCGAGACTCCACCCAATACTCCATGGTAGCGTGAGTGTGCATGTTGGTTGGGCCAACCGCGAGGGGGAAGCTCGAGCTCGACGGTCTTGCACGCTTGACCTTCTACTCGGTGAGCGCAATGACCACACACGCGTAGCCACGAAGGTATTCGAGCACTGGCCGCGTTGTTGAAAGGAGCGCATGCTCTTGCGGCCATGCATTGGTATGCGTACTGTGTATCTTGTGCGCCCTTCGCCCCCAGGGAAAGTCTTGCTGTTCGCAAGTCTCGAAGTCCCTGGCCGGAACGGTTACGGTTTGCCACAAACCGCTCCCCCGGTCTCGCGGAACATCCGTGTGTGTGCGGATGTTGCTCTTTTTTTGTTATCGTACGTGCGTTTACCTTGAGAGGCTGTGGGCGTATTTTGTTTTTCAGAACTATGAAAAAGGTTCTTCGTACAGACACTTCCAGGAGGTTACGCGTTTCCAGTGGAAACACGAAGGTTGAAACATGGCGCCTCCGCCCGCGCAGCTCTAAGCTCTACATAAGATGGGGCGGCAAGCGGTGCATTCGGTCACAGAAAGTCTACCCGTTCGGCACATTCTTGTTTTTTGCGGGGTTCCGACCGAACCGAGTCATCCCGGTTCTCCTTGTTGCAGAAACATGCGTACAACAAGGCACACTTTGTTAATCGCCGTGCTGCGACACTCTCTGCCTTTCCGCTCCCCGCCCTCTTCTCGCCGCCTCTCTGGAGTTTTGCACTGCTTCCCGTGCGAATCGGTTTGCCTCATCGGCACTCGGTTAGAGCGATCGTTCACGCTTCCAGTCCCTGCCACGGTCTGTTGAGATCCTGCCACGGTCTGTTGAGATCCTACCACGGTCTGTTGAGATCCCTTTGATTCAAAGCCGCCTGTGTTCCATGTAAGCAAGAGTACAAAAGGCGCAAGTGATTGTTTCTCATGTCAAACTGCTGTGCAAACTGCTGTATTTGACGCAGTCACTGCTTTGTGGGGATGCGAGAATGAACAGTTCGGAGATTACAACCATGCACGATTGTCGGCACCCCCCCCCCCCTCCCCCCCTGGAGATCATTCTCGCAGCGATATTTCGTGCACGGTCATTCAAAGCCCCTCTCCCCCTCTCCGCTTGGAACCGATACGACCAGGCGGCGGCCGCAGCGTTTGTTTCCGCGCAACCCACCCCAAAGGCGGGCCGGCAGCAAGCGTGGTCTAACCCTTGGGTGACTAACTACGCTGGTCGGCGACAGCGTGTCGCCAGCGCCGCAGTGCGCATGGTGGCGACCGACCCGGGAACGGCCACGACCGAGATCAAGCAGCAGCAACAGCAGTCAGGAAAGGGAGAGGGGCCCCCGCCGCCGGCGCGAGTAAACGTCCAACCTAGTCGACATGACATTGGTGGGTAGAGGGGTTTCGGTGGCGGTTCGGGGGAAGGGGGCACGGGAAGCGCTGTAGTTGTCCGGTTTTGGCGATGATGAAACACTAAATACTGCTGCGTTTCGAGCTGTTGTAGTAGCAGCTCTCTCACTCAGATGGTCCGGCGCCGAGTGCGAGAGGCGTTCTCTGTTTGTGTGTGTATGCTCGCTTCACGCCAGGATGCTCTTTCGTGCGGTCGATTTTGTGCGTCTGTTTCTCTCGGCTTCGGGCCTCTGCAAGCGATGCTCTTTGGTTTCCTTGGATGAGTAGAAGGAGGCGACGAAGCAGCAGTAGGAGCATCAAAGAACAGCCCACGTTGAGGCAGCGGCCTTTGCGCGCGGTTCATCGTGACAGCGGTAGTACTTAAAACAAATTCCAGCACAGGTGAGAAATAGAGTTTAACGGGGCGTTGCAGTATGGTGTCAAGTCGTGGTTTACCTTGACCTAACGGCCCGCACGCGGTCGATTGTTTTCCCGCAGAAACCGGGCGCGATCCCACCCGAGTGAAAGTCTTCGACACCACCCTGAGGGACGGGGAGCAGAGTCCAGGCTGCACCATGACTAGGGAAGAGAAGCTCATGGTGAGAAAAGCCACGAAACAGAGGACAGTATCGGGGGAAGAACGTATGTATGAGAGGCGGGGGGGGCATTGAACAACAAGTACCATCGCGTGGAACGGGGGCGATGCTGTGCGTGCGCTTGAGAGCATGTCACGGCAACCTTACTGCACGATGCCAGAGGGTCCGTTTTGTTGAGAGAAGAGGGTGACCTCTTGCGTCTGTAATCCCCCGGTTATATTGCTTGATTTTGTGTGGAATACGCGCAGGTGGCAAAACAGCTGGGCAAGCTTGGAGTGGATATCATCGAGGCAGGGTTTCCTATCGCATCGCAAGGCGACTTTGAGGTGCGAAAAAAGTGCACGGTGTGAGGCGGAACTTTCAACCTACGGCGCCGTAACGGGTGAACCTCGCTCGCTCCTCATGTGTCGAGGGGGCAGGGATGGTGCTGGGCGTGGTAGCTGTTTGAGGTTTCCAGGGCGTCATTGGCCTCGCCATCATCGAATATGAAGCGACACGTGTATCGAGTCGAGGAGTCGCCCTCCCCACCCCTAGTGCATGTGCCGAAGGATCAGTGATCGGTATTTGCCCGACGCACACACACTTTAAAGCCTGGCACAACGGCAGGGCAATCAGCGTTCCAGCGTCGTTCACGTGTATGGACCACCTTGTAAGAGTTCTCGCCAACATCCGCCGCCTACCCGTGCTGCCCGCTTACCGACCCCACCGCTTGTGAACGGCGCCGCAACGGCGGAAACCCGTAAACATGTCGCGTATCTTGTCGTCGAGGCAGGCGGTGCAGGAGATCGCTACAGTGGTCGGCCAGGGCGGCAACCCTCCAATTATTTGCGGCCTGGCGAGGGCCCTAAAGAAAGACATCGACGTGAGTGCTCAGCTTTATGGCTGGTTCTAGATGAAGCGGTCTATGCATAGCAAAGCCCGCCGGTGTTTGTCCGCCCTCGTCTAAATAGTGCGCTATGTCGCTTGTGGCCGCATGTTTGTTTTTGAGCTTGGCTGTCCCTGTGAGGTGCTCGTTTTCCGTTGAAGAGCCGGCAGAACCCACAGGCGTGCGAGATCGATCGGTTTTAGGGGTGGATTGCTCCACACCCAAGAGGTTGAGGGTTGTAGCCAAGCTCGACCGATAAGTGCAAGGAAAGGCAACCCTCTCGACGAGACCCTTATGTTTCCACAGTTTTCGGCATTACGAACCTCTTGTTGGTGGTGGAGCAGTCGAGCTTTACAAATGTACATCGACCGCATATACCTTTGGGTTCGCCTACAGTATGGCGGTAGTGCCATGAGTCTCATCTCTCCGCACCCGTGGTGTACTGGTACTTCCCTGTTGTGTGTCCGTTGCTGTTGATTTATTCTTCATCTTAAGCGCGCACTTTGGTACGGACTTGGCGATTGCTTGCAGCAAGCAGTTGGATGCCGGACATCGAAAGGCTTCGGGGGAGGTCGTTTTTTTTATTGTTGCCTTCTCCTTTTCTCGGAAATACGTACCACATTTTTTTGTCTCGCGAAATCTCCTTGACGGATGTCTTGCTTCCTTGTAAATTCCCGAGTATGACTCTTTCTGTGAAGTGTCCCGGTGGATACGTTCTTGTCCTGGCTTGTCCTGCTCAGACGCCATGATCAGTCCGTGTGAGGACGTGTTGGTGGGCACCTCACATTAGTGACTTTTTTTGCCGCCGTTCTGCTTGGGACACCAGGTGTGCGCGAACGCGGTGGCGCCAGCGCGGTTCCCCCGCATCCACACCTTCATCGCTACCTCGGACATCCACATGAAGCACAAGCTTAAGAAGTCCAGGGAGCAGGTGAAAATGTCTAGCATATGACTCCATAGAAGGAATCCCTATGGCGTGGGCTCGTGAGAGCGCAGTGCCACCAAGGGGTGACGCAAGATGAAAATGTATCAGGCAGGACCAACTCACAGCTGGCTGCCAGCTGCGGTGTGTCAACAGCTCACAATTCTGACATATTTTCGGCTCGAACAGCCCAGCGATTCTCAACAACGAACCCAAAAGACTATATTACGCATCTGCATTCAGTCTTACGCCATGAGTGGCAGTCCAGATTGGTCGGAGCCGGGGGTTGGGTATAGCTGCGTGGTTGATGGTGCGGTACGTGCCTGTTGTACGTTGGGTCTTTCCACGGCGGGTATCGTTACGACGGAGAGGGTTTCGACGCTGACAGAGAGGCACTGTCGACATGTACTTTCCCCGTGACCTTGGCTGCTCATCCTTGCTTGATACGCTGACGGAGAGGCATTGTCGACATGCCCCTTCTCGTTGGCTCCTCGTAGTCGCTTGATATGCTGACCCAGTTCACGGCGGTGTCGACTCCGCCCCTGTGCGGCACGTACGACAAAAGCGTTGCTGCTTCGTGTAACGTTTTGCCGCCTAGGCGTTATGCTAGTCTGTTCGCTTTCTTTTGATACAATCCACCATCGGGTAGAAAGGGGGTGCTCACGGCTCTTTCGTCAGGGGGGCTGTTGCGAGTCGCCCTCAACCTCTGCCGCAAAACGATTGCCGCGTGGACGGAGGCATGTAAAGCGCCCCTGCCGCTGAACCGATATCGCTTTGTCATCGCAGGTCCTGGAGATCACGCGGGAGATGGTGACGCACGCACGCTCGCACGTGGATGACGTCGAGTTCAGCGCCGAGGACGCGCTTCGCTCGGACTACGACTTCCTGTCGAAGGTGCGGGTTTTCGTTTCCCTTTGGCATTTGGCTGATCATTGTTGCGCGTGCTCGGTAACTTTGTTAATCTTCTGATGCGGAGTTGTCGAGGTGCTTGCACACTTTCTGATGCAGGTTTTTGGGGTTGCTTGGACGCTTGACTCATCTGACACGGAGCCTTGGGGGTTGCTTGGACACTTTCTTCAACCGATACATGTTTTTGGGGTTGCTTGGACACTTTTCTCGTCTCTTTCAAAGTTTTGGGGTTAGGTTTCCATATGTACATCCTGCGTACTTGGTCTCAATCGATTGGTCAGAAATTCGACAATGCATACCATAGACGAGAAAGTTTTGGGCGGGACCACCAGTCGCCCGCAGCAATTTGCATCGAATGATCCGTGCCGTGCTGAGGACGAGAATACAGCACTTGTTCGCGCCAGCCATTATGATCGTGGTTGTCTCTAGGCATGCGCTTCGGCTGCTTGTGCTGCTTGTGCGCAATAAAACAAACAGCTTGGACTATGTTCGAACAAACCGCCGTCGCCGACCTTGTCATCTCGAGAGAATGTTTTTTCTTTGTGTTTTGTTTTGCCCAAAATCATTCTTCGTGTGTGTTCAGAATCTATTATCATATAGGTCGTGCAAAACCAACAACTGGGATAGTTGTATTTTATTTTTATTTGATCACCCCCAACTCCCCCTGTTTTTTTTTTTTTTCTGTTGAAGGTGTACTCTGTCGCGATTGAGGCCGGGGCGACTACCATCAACGTCCCCGACACGGTCGGATACACCACCCCCAAGGAGTTCATGGGGCTCATGCATCACCTACGCGGGACTGTCAGGTAGCGGGTGATTTGGCGGCGAAAACGGTCGATATAACGATATCAAGCAGGTAGCCGCTGTAGACCGAAGGTGAAAGAACTGGCTCGTTTTGGCTATCCTATATTGCACTTCTACAATCATCGCTTGGCTTCTAGGGGCTGCACGATAGAACTATGCACAAGTGCTGCGAGCGCTGACTTATGGTGAAGAAAAAAAAAATGGTTGCCGTGGCGTGTTTTGAGAGTGCAAAGAATAGAAACAGGAATTTAGTTGGTGGGGCCGTGTTTCCTTGCAGGGGCATCTTGGGGTGAGAAGTCTCGATTCTTCGGTTCTCGGTTTGTTGGCGGGAGCCGATTTTTGCTGGTTGCCTTGACGATTGTCTGTGAGGTGGTCGTAGTCGAGTCCTACAAGCGCCGTGACGGCGAGGTTGATCCGATCCAACGGTTCGAGTGCTCGCTTGTTTCACCAGTCGGCCGAACTCGCTTTTCCCTTCCCAGGGGCATCGACAAGGTGACCATCTCCGTTCACGGGCACGACGACCTGGGCATGGCCGTGGCCAACTTCATGTCCGCCATCGAAGGAGGAGCCCGCCAGGTATCTATTTAACATTTCTGTTTTTTCACATATACTTTTTTTTTTTTCTGCGACTTGGGGTTGTTTTTCTGTTTTATTCTATGGGTACACGCCCGTCCGTGGGTGACCGTACCCGCGCTTGTTGGCTACTCTTAACGTAAGCGGGGGCTTGTTTGCCGTGCTTGGCAGGAGGGGAGAAGCTTAAACGTAGGCCGTTCGCAAGGGCTAACTCGCTCGGCTGGTAGTTGTAGCAATGGCGGTCGTATGGCGTATTTGTTGAGTTCGGTTTGTGTTCGGTATGGAATTCCCCCCGTCGTCGACCCTGCTGGTCCGCGGCTTCGCACGTAGTACCTTTTTTGTTTTTCTCTCCGCTCAGCCACGTTATTTTCCCTCTTTTTTTTTTCTCGTTTGCATCGCCCGCCCGTTTGTGTTGTCCCTCTGGCCAGGTGGAGTGCACGATCAACGGAATCGGAGAGCGGGCAGGCAACGCCGCGTTGGAAGAGATCGTCATGGCCCTGCACGTCCGCAAGGTTTGGTTGACCCGAGTGTATGTTTCTTTGGTTTCGGATCGGTCCTCTCCTCTCCTAACGGGGTAATCGCGGAAGGGGTTTCGTGTTTCGGAGGTCGGGATGGGGGTCTGGGTGTTAACCCCTCATCCCAGCAGACATTGCGCGGACCCCCCGTTCATTCTCCGTCTGAGGGTGCAGCAAAGCATGGAGCCAGGCTTTGAGACCATGCCTTGGTTCCGCTGCCTGATGCTGTCCCATGTTTGACGAAACGGAACGCATCAAGACCAGGATCGTTTCCCCTACATATTAGTCATAACCGCCACAGAGCCTACGTTTTTTTGCATTTGCGCCGCATCACGTCTCTCCGCTTCCCCCACTCAGACGCAACCTTGCTTAACGAACAGTCCCCGTGGACGATTCCCGCACCCATCATCTGCGTTTGCATTGTTGTGGCAAATCACACTCTAACAATCATCACGGCCCCGCCACAATCTGTCCTTGTGTACCACCGCTGTCCCCTGTCCCCTCCCCGCTGCTTCTGATGGGGGTCAGGCGTACTACAACCCTTCCTTCGACCGCCCCGTGCTGTCGGAGACCGCCCTGACCAACATCAAAACCAAGGAGATCGTCAAGTCTTCCAAGCTTGTGTCCTCCATGACGGGCATGATGGTGCAGGCGAACAAGGCTATCGTCGGAGCAAACGCCTTCTCGCACGAGTCTGGGATTCACCAGGTGGATACCGGTGTTTGCGGTATCGTAGCCTATTCTAGAAGCTGTCGCTCGCGGGCGATGGTGATGATGATGTTTATGATGACCTGTGTCTCGTGTCGCAGCATGCCCGAGGAGGAGGGCTGTGCCTGTTCTCTCTCTCTCTCTCTCTCTCTCTCGCTCTCTCGCTCTCGCTCTCTCGCTCTCTCGCTCTTCGCTTCGACAAGTACTTGGTCTCAGGGGGTCTATCGTGATCCCTAGTCGCGTGCCCCCCTCAACCGCGACTCGCGCGGCGCACCGCTGCTGTTTTTGACAATAGCCTATACCCCCCCCCCCCCCCCCCCCACCGACCTTTTAGGGGGTGAACTTGGGATCGCAGCCACGCGTGTTCCACGGCCGTGGCCACCACCTTCCCGAGGGGCGCGCGCTTCGACAGCTCGTCCTGGACACGCACGGTCTCCTCTCCGAGAGCATCGATCCCGGCCGCCGCGCTGGCCTCGCGAACCGCCATAACCCGACACACAGTACCCAGGCCCGCAGCCACGAATGTTTCTTGAACAAACACAGGTTCGGATCGTGACGAAAACATGATACGAAAGGCAAAAAGATAGACATTTCATCTGTGGATCCCCCACCTACCGTTAA